TGATCTTCCTAGCAAGATACAAATAGGGATTAAGCATTCAAAAAAGAAGGATGATTAAATCGATTAGTGGATGAACTATAGGTCAAAAGTGTGGTCCCAGGAATACCTAGAGAAAATAATGAGAAGACATCAAATTGTTCATGAAAACTATACGAATTAGAACAAATACATAATATTATTTGCTCCATAGATCATCAGCCCTAAATTAGAAGCCATCAATAAAGGAAGATAAATCAACTTTTTAAATATTTTTATTAAAAATAAGATCATATAGAATTATCAGAAGGATCAAATGTAATGTCATATGGATATTTTTGGGGATAAGAAATAGCAATAGAAGTAGCTTATATATATTAACCAGCCTACATAACCTGAAAGATATTATGATGTAATTGTAGACGAAGATACTGATTTATATCATGTTTTGATAAACAATTTAAAATTAGAATTACTACATAGAATATAGTAGGAAGACAGTGATGATATAGGAGTCATGAGTAGTAATTAGAGGGCATATATATCCAATACGAAGGGCGGTAAGGTATACCCGGATAGTTCAGATGAAGAATGAGATAAACTAATAGTCGAAGAAGAACCAGTAAATAACAGATAAATCTCTAAAAAAGTAGAAATTATAAATGTTTCAGAGGAAGAAGCTTCTATTAATACGATTAGAAAAAGGATAGCTCCCAATTAACCTACAGTACCTAAGCTAAATAACCTATAGGCTTAAAAGAAAATAATGGTGGAGCTGTAGAGTAATTAGCTCTTGACCTCCAGGCCAGAGAGGGAAAATAGCAAAAGTCATTGCTGAAAAGAAACTGACATCTTTCTTTTTAATAATTTCGTAGGAGTTAGAAGAAATGAATGAAAAACAAGACTTTCATGAAATTTTTTAAAAATATACGATTATAATTCATATTTATTTAAGCAATTTTCTGATTTGTAATTATTCTGATTGATCATCCCAAGTCACTAAATATTTGCAGTCTGGAGTAATGCATCCTACTATCCTATCTGATTGAAATTCAATAAAGCTTTTGATCATGAATTAAAAATCCTCTGTTATTCTAAAAATGAGAATTTAAGATCCATTTTAATGGACAAAAACAGATTTAGATTTGATATATATCTATGAAGAAACTGTCATGCTTTCGCTATTTTTCTTTATCTCAATCTGGCTTGATTTAAGAAACTCTTCGCTTCCTTCTTTTCTTTAATACAGCTCTAGGACTTTCTAATTGTAAGGCTAAAATGTAAAGAGTGAATCATTTATGAAGCTTAAACTTAATCCCCATTAAGTTGTTTGAATATATCTTGCTTCTAACCACAATAGATCTTTACTATGTTTAGTACTGATAATAATCTTGTTCTCCTGTATAGCACAAGAAATCAACTAATTTTCAGCTTAATTTAATGATAAAGAATTAATTTCATTTTCATGATGGAATAAAGTTTAAAAATGAGTCCATTAATTCAATTTTTTCCAAATCATAATTTTCTTATCTGCTGCTCCTGTAATCATTAAATTTTCATTTTTTGATAAGACCAAACAGCAAATAGCTCCTGAATGGCCATCAAGTTATTATTGTAATTTCCATGTTTACTCATTATTTAATTCCCAAATAATTATCACATTATCTCCAGCTCCAGAAACAAATGTTGATGATTTTTTCATGAAATGAAGACATGTCACTTTATCTTTATGTTAATTTAAACCTTAAATAGATTTCAGTTTCCCATTTTCAAACTTAAATACTGTTATTAGCTTACTCTTTCCTGCTATCATTGTAGTGACCTCTTCATTAAAAGCTAATGAATAAATTTATTCTTCTTTATAAGAATTTTCTTAAAGTAATTCAAAATTAAGCAACTTTTAATAACCTATAGTTATTTGTTCTTTTTCTTTCGAATCTTCAATTTATACTGATTTAATAAATTATTCAGACGGTTACAAAATTTACTAATTTACATCAGTGTGAAAATATTCTCTAAATATAGATTTTTAATCTCTAATTATTGATTAAATTTTTTCATATGAACTTTCAACATCAACTTAGATAAATAGGAGTTACTACATGCATTAACTCTCTATTTCTTTAATTAAGGTTTTTTCAGGTTTTTAATTGCTTAAAATGTTTGCAATTGATATAATGTCTTCCTTGTCTAAATATTACCAATCCTTTTTTAGAAGAAATCTATTTTCTTTAAAAATCCAATTCTAATTTTATTTTATTAAATTAATCTTTTCAAGGCAACCATCAATTAATTAACAAATTTAATCTTTAACTAATAACAAACTTTCTATTGCTTTTCCGATCTATTTATTAATGAATTTATCATTTTTGTTTATAGAACTTTAAATTTCCAGAGATTGATTTTCCCAAAGCTTTTTCAAAGTATCAAGTGTAGTATATTATGTAAAATATTATGGCACACATTTCATACATGCTACTCTAGATGGAACTACATTAGATTAATTTAAATCTACATAGTAAATCTTATCTTTATGTTCCTCACATATCCATTAATTATTAATATCAGACTCATTATTAAAATTATACTTCATATATAAATCTTTAAAAGCATTTTCCTAAAATTTTTATTCATCAATGTTTATCTAATTAAGTATTTTTTCAGATTCATTTTACAATTATGTATAATTAACTTTTTTGATATATTATAGCAATGAGACCTATATATTTTTATATATGGAGGTTTCTTAACATATCAATTTGGAAAAGGTTTAAAAATCCTCATTATTACTAATTTATAAGGTTTCTTGAGATTCCTCTTTAACTTTCTTTATTAATTCAACTTAAGTATCGATATATGTTATTGCAATGTTCATTACATCTGAAATTTAATTTCTTTATTTTTGAAGGTAGTTCTTGATAGAGTGTAAGACTTCTAAGTTCTTATTTCTCTTCGTTTAAATTTCCCTCATGAATTACAATTTTACTAAAGAAAATTGCTTTTCTAAGTCTTCTATGAGCATTAAATTCTTATTCATGTTTACAATACATTTCTAACACAGCTTTCTATTTTTTAATTCACTAAATGCTGAACCATAAAAAACTACTTTCTATTAATGTTCTGGGCAAAAACTCATTTAAACAAATAATCAAACAGTTAAATTTCTAATAATCTTTATCATATACTTTAAATTAAAATCACATTAATAATTATCATTTATAAAATGTTTTATAATCTCTTATAAATTAAAAAAAGTAATAAATAATATGAATTAAGCAGAAAGTCTATTATATTTAATTGTCAAAATTTAATATAGAATTAATTGAATTATATCAATTTTACTTGATTTAAATTAATTTTATGAAAGTTAAGAAATTTCAACTAATTTTAAACTTCATAATTTTAATATACTTTTTTAGGAATGATTCATATACAAAGAATAAACTTCGAAATATAATCAAATGATGGATTAATTATTTTTTTTAATATTTTTTATTATAAATATTTCAAGGTGAATAATGAAGCGAAAGGAATTATTAGATTTACAAGATGAATGTTAAATTAAAATAATACAATAATAAATATGGTGATAACTTTTTTTAATAAAAATATTATAAAGCAAATTAATAATAAAAATAATGAAACATTTTCAACCAGATTCTTGCTTATAGCATAATAAAAAGGCTATTTTCTTAAATTAATCAGAAGTTGATCCATAGTTTAAGAANATCTATTTATTAATGAATTTATCATTTTTGTTTATAGAACTTTAAATTTCCAGAGATTGATTTTCCCAAAGCTTTTTCAAAGTATCAAGTGTAGTATATTATGTAAAATATTATGGCACACATTTCATACATGCTACTCTAGATGGAACTACATTAGATTAATTTAAATCTACATAGTAAATCTTATCTTTATGTTCCTCACATATCCATTAATTATTAATATCAGACTCATTATTAAAATTATACTTCATATATAAATCTTTAAAAGCATTTTCCTAAAATTTTTATTCATCAATGTTTATCTAATTAAGTATTTTTTCAGATTCATTTTACAATTATGTATAATTAACTTTTTTGATATATTATAGCAATGAGACCTATATATTTTTATATATGGAGGTTTCTTAACATATCAATTTGGAAAAGGTTTAAAAATCCTCATTATTACTAATTTATAAGGTTTCTTGAGATTCCTCTTTAACTTTCTTTATTAATTCAACTTAAGTATCGATATATGTTATTGCAATGTTCATTACATCTGAAATTTAATTTCTTTATTTTTGAAGGTAGTTCTTGATAGAGTGTAAGACTTCTAAGTTCTTATTTCTCTTCGTTTAAATTTCCCTCATGAATTACAATTTTACTAAAGAAAATTGCTTTTCTAAGTCTTCTATGAGCATTAAATTCTTATTCATGTTTACAATACATTTCTAACACAGCTTTCTATTTTTTAATTCACTAAATGCTGAACCATAAAAAACTACTTTCTATTAATGTTCTGGGCAAAAACTCATTTAAACAAATAATCAAACAGTTAAATTTCTAATAATCTTTATCATATACTTTAAATTAAAATCACATTAATAATTATCATTTATAAAATGTTTTATAATCTCTTATAAATTAAAAAAAGTAATAAATAATATGAATTAAGCAGAAAGTCTATTATATTTAATTGTCAAAATTTAATATAGAATTAATTGAATTATATCAATTTTACTTGATTTAAATTAATTTTATGAAAGTTAAGAAATTTCAACTAATTTTAAACTTCATAATTTTAATATACTTTTTTAGGAATGATTCATATACAAAGAATAAACTTCGAAATATAATCAAATGATGGATTAATTATTTTTTTTAATATTTTTTATTATAAATATTTCAAGGTGAATAATGAAGCGAAAGGAATTATTAGATTTACAAGATGAATGTTAAATTAAAATAATACAATAATAAATATGGTGATAACTTTTTTTAATAAAAATATTATAAAGCAAATTAATAATAAAAATAATGAAACATTTTCAACCAGATTCTTGCTTATAGCATAATAAAAAGGCTATTTTCTTAAATTAATCAGAAGTTGATCCATAGTTTAAGAATTTATGTCTTCAATGTGTTTCAGAATTAAAAAATGAATTAATTGTAATCGACGATTTCTAATAATCAATATAAGAACTTATAATTAATTTGATTAAACAACGAGAATAACTTAATTAAAATAACCTTTAGTGTTTAATTCATTTGAAAGATTGCATTTTGTAGTTCAAAATGCAATAAATAATATCAATTGAAAAGTATATTTAATGTATTGATTAATAAATCAATATAATGGATGAGTTTTAAAAATAAATATATGATTACTAAATTCCAATAGACAATGTTGATTAATTTCTTAGTAAATATACTGAAATTGAATAATTACATATAAATTATGAAGGTATTAGGGATGTTATAATGAGCAATCTTAACTCAATTCAAATATAAGATTTTATGCCATAATTTTAAGAAATTATAAATAACCTTATATTTGAATCTTAGACTGATGTTGTTGTTACTCTATCACATATAAAATCTCACATTTTCCCTAAAAATTATGATAAAGAAAAATTGAAAATATTTTGTGAGAAACATAATAGATAAATATTAATGTTGGACTTAAATAAATAAAAAACACTTCAAAATAGATTAGCTTGCATTGATTGTATTGAAGAATATGCAATCAAATTCACAAAACTAGAAAATTTTGAATAATAATGGAAAGATTATTAAAATACAATCTAATAAGAGAATAATAAATTTAATGAGAGAATCACTAATACTAACAAAACCATATTGCAATATATGAATGATTTTTATAAACTATTGTAAAATGAATTGAAATATACTCAAAAATAATTGACCGATCATGCAAATGATTATCGGATGAAGACAAGACAACCCATATTCAAAACCATATTCCAATTTTCAAAAGAAGAAATTTTTGAAATAGCTGAAGAATTAAGTAATTAAAATAACTAAGAAAAATTAACAAAAGAATTTGAATCTCAATATCATAATTTTAAAATATAGTCGGATAAGATCTTGGAGGATTAAGAGATTATTATATAACAATTATATAAAAAGATGTAAAAATAAATATAAGAATCTTATTATAATATTATAGATTAACATAATATTAATTAATAAAAAATTAAACCTTTTAAATATGAAATCATGAAATAGAATTGTATTAAATAGTAAGAGTCCTGTTATGCATTAGCTTTTAATAATGATTCATCAATATTAATTGCCGGTTGCAATACAAAAATCAAAATATACTAATTTATAAATGAAGAATTAAAAGAAAAGTAAATTATTTCAGAACAAAAAGAATTTACATGTTTAATATTTATGAAAAAGAGAAACCATTTTATATCAGGAAGCAAAGATGGATCTATTATAATTTGGTCAATTGATAATAATTAATAATGGTATTATTAGTAAAGATTGGAAGAACATAATGAAAAAATACTTTGCTTAATTTTAAATGAATGTGAGGATCTTCTTATTTCTAGTAGTTGGGATAAAACTATCAAGTTCTGGAATAATACAACTAAATGGATAAGTACTTAGACTATTTTAGACCACAATGAATAGGTTTGGAGTATTAGTATGAGTCCATCATAAACCAAATTGATTTCATGTGGAAATGATAGAATTATTCTAATATTAGAACATAAAAAAAAGGAGAATTTTTGGATAATAGTATAAAAGATAAATGTAGAAGTTAGAGGATATAGAATTTGTTTTTTAAGTGACAACTCATTTGTATTTTAATAATGGATTTCAAATTTGATGAATTTCTACTAATATGATGAAACAAAAAATGAATTTAAAAAAAAGAGAGACATAATTGTAAAGTCTGGTAATAGTTGTGATTATTTATCACCTTTATAATATATTGACAATAAATCATTACTTGTAAATAAAAATGGGTTTCATATAAATATGATTCGAAGAAATGAAGAAGAAACTCTTAAAACAGAGTTTACTATAAATTTTGATACAAATTATATATATATATCAATTAGTAGAGATGGAGAATTCTTAGCAACTTGGGATAACAAAACATAAGAAATATAAATAAGAAAATTTTTGATTGATTGAAAATAGTTATAGAATAATAAGTATATTTAAATATTTAAACTAAAATCATAATTTATCAATTAAATCGCTTCTAGTATCATTTCTAATCATAAATTTATTGAAATTTTGTTTTAATATTGTTATAACACCTTGAAGATAATTAAAAATACTAATAATCTAACTATAAGTTATTAAATTCTTTTGAAACTATCATAAATATTTATATATCTAAAAATTTTATTTTTAAATTAATAAAATTGATTAGTTATCAAATTTAGTTTATTACATATAAAGTTATTTGATTTAGATTTAATAAAGGATACAGATCTAGTGTTTTATCGAATCTGATAGACTTATATATCAATACCAATATTTACATAATTAGAATTATCTGCGAATTGATTTTAGATTCCTTCATATTCACTTCAACAATTATTGTATCATTGACTTGAAAAGTGAAACATAAGATGTTTGAGTTCAAATTTTTTAAGATGAATGGGAGAATGCAATTACATGTGAATTTACGTGATAAGTTCTATATAAGTTATCTGTTAAATAGACCCATTTAAATATATTTATTTTAACTTTAAATTTCTTTGTTCCCTACACACAATGCTACATATGAAACTTGATGTATAAGCCATAAAGCAAATTTAGAAATTCCAGTTTTTGGAATCATAGGCTGACCTATTACAAAATTTGCCTTTTTTAAACAACTAACCTTGTTACCATTATTTGTAATCTCTACATCTGAAATACGTCATTCTATTAAAAAACTAATATCCAAAAATTTAGGAATGTTTTATTAATGTATATGTTTCATGTTTTAAAGAAGAGTATTCTTATGATTTATATTATATATCGTAAATGATATGATTCTCTAACTAATTGATTATATCACTTGATTATCGATTATTATATTATTGATTGACTTGACCCAATAGTTCAACACTTTATTTTAAAGATAGCTGAACCATATAATATTTTTTCTGTTTTAATTATGTCTTTAATAAATTAATCTAATTATGTTATCCCAAATTGATCTAATTTGTTATATAAGATTTCTATTAATGCTAAACAATCTGTTATATATTTTAATGCTTATTCAAATTTTATGAAAAGTTTTTCAACCAATCATGAAAAATCTTAGCAATTAACAATTTTGTTTTGAATTGTGAATGAGATTCTTCATAACATATTTAACAGAATGGCTTTTTTTCTTTACGTCCTTAATCAATGCATACTCCCAAAATAGTTTAGAATAATGATACTCTTTTTTGAAATTTAATAAGGTGCTTCTCATTTTTATATATTTTAATAATAAATCTGATTAAGGATAAAAAATTAATTAATGAATAAATCAATTTATAGAATCTTAGTAATAAAGAAATGTTATTAAAATTTTATTGTAAATATTTATTTTCAAGTAATTTTTTTTCATATAGATAAGTATAATGATTATGATAAACACAAAAATATAGTTTATGATTACCAAATTGAAATGGTAATACTAAATATTATTTAGTATCAAACTTATATTTCAGTGGGTACTTATTGTCTTGATTTTTAATTTAATCTTTGTTTTTATCATTTATGAAATTTATCAGATAAATAACAGCAGGAACACCTGAGAACATTCCATAAAATACTGAAATCCATGCAAAATTAAAATCAATTATATGAAATCAGATGAATTACTTTAATGAAATCTTACTTTACAGTAACAATAAAAAGAAAAAATCCATAGGAAAACTTCTCCTCCTAATTGAAAAACAATACAATAAACCAAAATTCAGATAGCTTTAACTCTTTAAACTATTTAAAAGCAGATTTGATTAAAAAAATAATAACTCTAGCAATTTCTAAAAAATTATTAAATTCAAGAAAATTCATAAAACTATTAATGCCATTTAAAAATAAATTATTTTTAATTAATTATTTTGCATTGAGAAGTCTAATGTTGTTATTTTTTTATTACAAACATAAGTGTAAAAATCAAAAATAAGAATAGATTTATACTTCAAATAAACCCACTCTAAATTATAATGGATATTTGGGCATTAATTGAGAGGGTATTGAATTATCCTATTAATAATAATTAATAGTTATTAATTTACTTCTATAGAATATTAATATTTCATTTATCTAAGGCAATCCTCAATTAAAGTGATTAATTTATTATTTTTGAGCTTTTTAGGCAAAATAACAAATTTTACCAAATATTACTATAAGTTTACTAAATTTGAATAGAATACTTAATCTTGAATTTATTGTTAAAAAGTACAATTTTTTGGAAAGTAATTTGAATTTAGACAAGATTTCTGTTATTTTTCGTAAAAAATTGTTGTTATTTCAAAAATATAACACAGACAATATAGACTTAATTAGTTTAATTGAAATTCATTTAAATTAATGAATAAGAATTATTGATATTTTGAAGATTTCCTAATAATTATTTTTGGCATCAAATTAAAAAAACTTAGTTATTAAAGGAATTAAGGAATATCTAACTATTTGAATTTAACCTAAGATTTCAATTAAGCTTAAGAATTTAAAAGTTTTGATAATATTTTGCGATAAAATACAATTTACAAATAGGATTTTTTATCTATGATAATCCAATCATTTTATTTATTTTTACTCAAAAAGTTAATAATTGAGTATAAGATAAGTTTTTAATTAATTCATTCAAATAAGTTTATTTATATATTATACTAAAATTATCAGCATAATAGCTAGTTATTCCTTTAAATATTAAAGGCAATTAGTATTTCAATTTAATTTAATTTTTTATTATTTTCAAAAAGATTAGAATTCCAATCTTGATTAAAATATATTGTTTGATTGAAAAATAGAGTAAAGGGAAGAGGATTTGAGGATCTTCAAAAATTTTGTTAGATAAAACAAGATAGTATTTAAAATTTTAGTGATCTATAAATTTTTAAAACATTAATATATAAAAAAAAATAAAATTTAAATTATTATGTAATATTATAGTTTTAATAAAAATAATGCGAAATATGAATTATTATCAAGATTTTAACTATTTAAACATTTGATATATTCATTCTGATTTTCTCATATTATTTATAAGAGGAAATATTATGAACGGATAAAATAAGTAAGAATAGATGTTATTTAAGTTGTAAAAGAATCTAGTCTTAATTCTAGAAATAACCTTGTATAAAGTTTGAATCTATTATTTCGGGACACTATGTCTTAATGTTAATCTAATTTGTAGTCATCTTTATAACAACTATTTTAATGTTAATAAGCAATCATACAAATGAAATCAATAATTTATGCACATTGTTAATTATATTCCTATTTGTTCTATTTGGATGTACATTATATAAACAAAAATAATTTATTGATGTTAAAAAAAGATTTAATAATAATGTCCAAGAATATGAATTAAACTAGAAGATCTATGAATCTACCATCAAATTCTATTACTTCTATACTAATTAATAATAATTTAAAATTATTAAATGGATATATTTATATATATCATTCAATATTTTACTCATAAATTAAAACTTTATTCTCATAAAATATTAAGATTCACATATTTAAAACGATAATATAGAGATTTCATAATCTGAATATTTGCTAAATATAATTAATATCATAATTGAAGAACCAATGCTTAGTGTTTTATTCATACTTAGTTCAATAATAGCTTTTATTTTTATCATATTAGAACTATTAAAATTATTCTTTTTTATTTTCTTAATCTATTAAGAACGTTCCATTCCGATTTATTATTACAAACATTATAATATCAGTATTTATATTTACATAATTTTAGAAATTTCAAAAACTGTTACTAAAGCTTAGATATTTTGTTAAATATCTATTTTTAATAATCTAAGTAAATCAATAGCATTAATTATTTTTCTGAACTTTACAGAAAATTAAACTTCTTATCTATTAATTGGATCAAGTATCTTTTATCATTTAATTATGATCATATTTTAAATTAAATTATTTTAATAAATTAATCATTTTGCTTCAATATATTAAAATGTGAATGATATAAAATCAATTAAGGATTAAAATTTATGTTTTGATGATCATTTTATGTTTATAGATTCAATATTAAAGATTAAGAATTTTTTAAATAAACTCTTTTAGTTTTTCCTTATAATTTGTGTAATATTGACTATAAATGGAAGTATTTTTTATGATAGAAAATTAATAAATAAATTCTCTTATGATGGTTTCATTTATTTTGAATGTGGATTATTTTAATTGGTAATACTTACCTTATTGATTATTGAATATATTCTAAAACCATTTTGTTTTAATTTAAATTTTTAAGAGTGCTTGTAAAATTAAACCTAAGTTTTTTAGGATCAAGAATTCATATAAATTGTTCCAAAATCGATAGAAAAATCCCTTTAATAAATACCACTTAAAACAGATCATTTTACTACAAATTAAAGAATGAATATCTAAAGAAACAATAGTTTTAATTAACTATCCTTTGTGTCCCTTACAAATATCAAAAATTATTTTATTTATAATGTGGATCTGTAAAATAAAATAGTTGATTGTACAATTTGTTTAGAATAAATGACTGATAATCAATTAGAGATTGTTTAATTAAAATGTCATAATACTCACATTTTTCATGAGAAATGTATAAGAGATTGGTTATCATAAAATAAAAATTGTCCACTTTGTAATACAAAATTTATGATTTAGTGAATCAAAATTATTTTTATTTCAACATTTTTAACTTTTTTAGATATATTTTTATTAATTTTAAGATTAGAAATTTACACTTTTATTAATTATTATAAGATCCTAATCAACTATAACTAATATATTTTTAAATATAATCAAAAAATTTTAATAATTTTTATGTTAAATAATGATGTTGAGAAGATCTAAATTTTCATCATAAATTTTCAGGCTCTTGAAACCCAATCGTATAAGCTATTTATAAAATAATAAAAAACTTCCGTAAGATAAATAATATTATACTTTTTTGTATAATATAATTCTTGTAAGGAATATATCAAAACTATTTAATTTATTCAACCAGTAGCAAATTGAAATTTTTTATATATTAAACAAAATTTAAAATATTTTCTAAGGAATTATAAATTGACAACTTAAATGGGGATCTTTTTAAATTGAATAATCAATTAGATGTTGATTTTACAAAAAATTATAGTACATTATAATTAAAATATTAACATTAAGATGATGTGGGAATTTTACAATTAATGAATAAATCAAACTCATATAACTTAGGTAGTTAAGATATATCAATTAAAATTTGGAACATTAACCAATAGAAATACGCATAAATTTATAAGGTCAGATTGGTTCAAATGTGAAAAAATAAACAAAAATGAAGATCTCATTATATTGTGTTGGGATGAAAAGGATAAATTTTGGATGAATCAATTTAGGAACAGAATATATTTTTTGTAGAATGACTGATGGTTACATGAAATGGTAAAACTAATCCAATTTTAGATGTATTAATATAAACTAATTAAATAAAGAGTTTTACTACTTTCTTAATAAAAGTTGAATGAAAGAAAATGTTGTGTGAAATTTGGAATTCATTTTTCTAAAATTTTCTACTTTAAAAATCAAGAAAAAAAAGAAAAATGAATTGAATAAGAAATTCTATAAGTCTTATCTTATTCTAATTTCTATGAAGCATTTATTAAATTCTACTCAAAGAAATACTCATATTCATTATTAAAAGAAAATAATAAATTGATGAAATAATTAAATTCTTATGGGTAAATTTTATATGTTTGAAAATTGAGTTTTAATTTTGAATAATGGATTGGTATGTGAGAAAACGATTTATAATATGATAATGAATTCATATTAGATAGGAATGAAAGTAAATGATTGAAAATTACTTATTTTTAATAAAACTAATTATTAAATACCTTATTACACCTAATTTGGCACAATAAAAGGATTTATAATTAATTTGTAACATGAAGCTAAAAGCATCTTTCTAATTCAAATAATAGGTCACTTTGATCTATTAATTAAAAAAAATAATCTTGATACTTCGAAATAGTGTTTATTATGGATTAAAACCATTTTGAATATAATTATCTTGCAATAAATATCACTAAAATAATACTTACATTCTTTTTTGTTAAATTATGTTATTCTTTCTTAGGTTTCTCTCAGTTTGATAATTTGAATTCATTAATATTTAAATTTGTTTAATTTAATGATAAAATTCTGATTAAATATATATTAATTTGCATTTAAATTTGATTCTTTAGTATATCAAATATAATAATTATTAATTAACAATCTAACTTAAATGTATAATCCTAAGCTAGATGATTTAAATAAAAGCTGTTTAAGAACAAAAACAAAAAAGTAGGCACAACCTATAATCGTTTGTTATGATACTAAAACAAAATTGCCAATAGAATTAAAATAAGTTTAATATACAGTTAATATATAACCTGGTTTAGCAGTAGTGCATATATGTTAAATCTATTCAACTGAATAAAACAAAGATCAATGTGAATTAGAATACTTGTTTACAATAGATTAAAATTCAGCTGTTACTAAGATGATAGTTGAACTTGGAGATTAAAAAGTTTATGGAGTTATAAAAGAATTAGAAGAGGCAAAAAAGGAATATGAAAAGGGAATAAAAGAAGGAAAGACAATGGTGTTAAGCTAAGAAGATTCAAAAATATCAAATATCAAAAAAGTTAAAATTGGTTGTTTGAGTCCTGGTAAATCATTAAAAATTTAATTTGAATACATCCAACAATTATAAGTATTTCTGAATTAATTTTGGAAATTAGAATTGTCTTCTATGATAGATACAAGTTATTTTGCAGTTAATGAATTAAAGAACACATCTAAAAATTATGCTTAATAATATTCTTTTGTGAAAAACCATGTCAACATTTAAGCAATGAAATTAAATTATAAGTAAAATATTACTGTAATAATTAATATGGAAAAACCGATTACATATGCTAAATCTCCAACACATTCAATTTTATTAAATTCTGATATTAATGTCAAAGAAAAATAAATTGATTTATAAACTCCTTAGAACTAATTAATTATTACTTTAGATATGAATGATCCTGAAAATATGGCACCAAATAAAAAGTTTGAGTTACTATTTTCCTCCAATGATGTTAATAACCCTTATGCAATACTAAGCCATACAAATAATGATGCTTTATAACATATCAAATATTGTGCAACTCTAACCCTCATACCAAAATTTAATGAATTTCCAATAGATGATGCCTATCAATCATATCTAAATGGTTTAAATTTATCATCATAGGCAAAAATCTAAAAGGGTTGTTATATATTTTTTATTGATCGTAGTGGTTCAATGGAAGGCATAAGAATTGAAAAAGCCAAACAATCACTGATACTGTTTCTGAAGAGCCTTCCTGAAGATTGTTCTTTTAATATAATTTCATTTGGTAGCAATGTATAAAAGATGTTCGATATTGCACAAGCATATAATTAAAAAACACTAAATTAGGCAATAAAGTAAGTTCAAGAAATGGATGCAGATTTGGGGGGAACTAATATTTTAGAAGCATTGGTTTAAGGCATTTATGATGAAAAATATTAAAAAAGCAAATATAGTTCAGAAACTTTAAATGCTTTTCTACTAACAGATGGAGAGGATTCTCCTGAAGATATCATTAAGTTAGTATCTAAAAATCAGAGACCTGAAACTAGAATTTATACATTAGGTATTGGGAATCATTGTAGTGAGTATCTAGTCTAAAGATTAGCTGAAGTTGGAAATGGAAAATGTTAATTAGTAGGAGATAATGAGGATATTAATTCTAAAGTAATAGATTTGTTAGAGGATTCCCTAACTTATTATTTAAAGGGATTTTCATTGATACATAATATTGAAAAAGTTTCATAGATTATTCCTGATCCAAAATCAATAACTTAATTAAAGAAAAATCAAGAGTTAACTTTACAAATTTTATTTTCAAAGAAACAGAAAAAAGAAAATTTAGAATTCAAAATTAATTGTTTTGATCCATAAATGAATAAATAAATTTAATATGAAGTTNTATGCTTAATAATATTCTTTTGTGAAAAACCATGTCAACATTTAAGCAATGAAATTAAATTATAAGTAAAATATTACTGTAATAATTAATATGGAAAAACCGATTACATATGCTAAATCTCCAACACATTCAATTTTATTAAATTCTGATATTAATGTCAAAGAAAAATAAATTGATTTATAAACTCCTTAGAACTAATTAATTATTACTTTAGATATGAATGATCCTGAAAATATGGCACCAAATAAAAAGTTTGAGTTACTATTTTCCTCCAATGATGTTAATAACCCTTATGCAATACTAAGCCATACAAATAATGATGCTTTATAACATATCAAATATTGTGCAACTCTAACCCTCATACCAAAATTTAATGAATTTCCAATAGATGATGCCTATCAATCATATCTAAATGGTTTAAATTTATCATCATAGGCAAAAATCTAAAAGGGTTGTTATATATTTTTTATTGATCGTAGTGGTTCAATGGAAGGCATAAGAATTGAAAAAGCCAAACAATCACTGATACTGTTTCTGAAGAGCCTTCCTGAAGATTGTTCTTTTAATATAATTTCATTTGGTAGCAATGTATAAAAGATGTTCGATATTGCACAAGCATATAATTAAAAAACACTAAATTAGGCAATAAAGTAAGTTCAAGAAATGGATGCAGATTTGGGGGGAACTAATATTTTAGAAGCATTGGTTTAAGGCATTTATGATGAAAAATATTAAAAAAGCAAATATAGTTCAGAAACTTTAAATGCTTTTCTACTAACAGATGGAGAGGATTCTCCTGAAGATATCATTAAGTTAGTATCTAAAAATCAGAGACCTGAAACTAGAATTTATACATTAGGTATTGGGAATCATTGTAGTGAGTATCTAGTCTAAAGATTAGCTGAAGTTGGAAATGGAAAATGTTAATTAGTAGGAGATAATGAGGATATTAATTCTAAAGTAATAGATTTGTTAGAGGATTCCCTAACTTATTATTTAAAGGGATTTTCATTGATACATAATATTGAAAAAGTTTCATAGATTATTCCTGATCCAAAATCAATAACTTAATTAAAGAAAAATCAAGAGTTAACTTTACAAATTTTATTTTCAAAGAAACAGAAAAAAGAAAATTTAGAATTCAAAATTAATTGTTTTGATCCATAAATGAATAAATAAATTTAATATGAAGTTAAAATGAATCTTAAAAGTTCCAAAGAGAATGAATATTTTCATAAAATAGCCGCTCATAAACTAATAAGATATTATGAAAAATCAATTTCCTAATAAGCTCAATAAATGGAGACTGTTATGATCAATGAAAAATGCATTAAAGATTTGGATATTATTAATTTGTCATTATAGAATCAAATACTATGTTCTAAAACAGCATTTATTTGTGAAGTATGCTAAAATGAATAAAATCTTTAAGCACTGATAAAGAAAAAGATGAAGATTAACTTATGTTTAGAGGCAAATGATGAAGATTAAGCATTTCAAAACAAAAGAACTAAAATGTCATTTAGATCAATTAAAAGTTGTAGCAAACCTTCCAATATGATGTATTAATTGCAAGAACCATAAAGGGTGATGTGTTGCATGTAGTAAGAAACGATGTTATAATCAAAATGTCAAAAATTGTCGGAAGAAGAAGATTAAGAAAAACTCATCAGTTCACATAAATTTTAAAAATAGGATTTACAACAGTCCAAAAAATTTCTTCCTAAATAAAGCATCCTAAGTGCTCCAAAGCCAAAAATACTATAAGAGGATTAACAAATGATAGCATATTTTGAATTAATTGACTGCATGTAAGCAAATGGTAGTTTCCTATTAGAAATACATATTGAAGATTCACTAAAGTTAAGCAGAATAGATAATAAATATCATTTAGAAGATCTATGTTGGCCAACAGTGGTTTCTCTTTTTTATTTGGAATTATTTTGTCAGGATTCTAAGACTTCCTGGTAATTAATTTATAATAAAGCCATAAATTATTTATAAAAGAAAGGAGTTAATTATTTTTAGATAAAAACAGAATGCATTACAGATTATAGAAAACTTTTTTAGAATTGATAAATTTGATTATATAAAATTAACTACTTTCTAAAATATATACATTAATTAATATCATTTTATCTTCTTATTATTTCATAATCTATTATTCAATTTAGCTAGCTACAAAATTTTTTAATATAATTGAATCAAATAGATTAAAGTGTAATTATCATAAACAAATTCAATTCGTTTTGATCTAAATTTATTGATTAAAACAAATTTAAAATTTGTTGATTGTATTATTATATTTAAATATTTTATAAGGATCTTAAGCAGTAAATGAGTATTTATTTTCTTTACTATTCTTAATTATTAAACACAATATTTCTTAAATCTATTATTAAATTGGTTGCTTTGAGGTGATTAAAATAAAACTAAAAAAATTTTAGATGAATTTATATTTAATTCACATATTTAATTCTAATCATTCATATTCTAAATTTACAATGGCCCATTGTAATTAGAGGAATATTTTGGATAAAAGAAATAGGTTTAAGTATTGAATTATTAATATTTTCATAGTATTCTACCTAATTAAATTGATTATAGATACAGTATTATAACTTTTCATGAATGGGTAAAGATGTAGTTTACATTATTAATGAATTAAATATGGGAAGATGATAAAAGTTGAAAATTTAGCCTAATCAAATTCTTCATCCAACCCAAATTTATTATTGATGATTTAAAAAATATCATAATTGATTTATTAAAATTTCCATAGTTTTTTATAAATAAATCTCGAAATATACTTTTAATTTAACATTCTACTCTTAATTTTGTCAATTTATTTGAAACTAAAATTATTTAAAAAATCATATTTATTTTAAGATCAACATAAATAGAAATTCATAAATCACTTTACATCAAAACTGATTGAAAATAAATTTAAAAATCCCAATATTTGATTTCAAAAATAAATCTGTTAATATATGTTATATTTTATTTATCATTTCTTTTATACATAATCAATTTTATAATCTTTTTAAATGTGCCTTATTGATAGAATCATAGAAAATAGACAAAATAATAAATTTAAATAATAAAGTTTGACTTATATTAATTAATTTTCATTTTATCTTTATCTTTGGATCATTAAATTAAACATATACGTGAACATAATGAACTAGGATTTGATACAATTTAAACTTTTTAAATTTTATTTCCCTATTGTTGTTATTAAGTTTAATTTTATTATTTATTATTCATTTCAACAACTTAAACGAATACCTCTCTAAGTTTTTTATCAGTATTTTCTATTATTGATGATGATTAATCGTCTAAATACTTTAAAATAATTAATGCATCATTAGTCCCATTTATCCAATATTCATTTTATTCATCCTATTGATTTTCTATTTTGTTTAACTTACCTAAAAATTAATTGAACTACTAATTATTTTATTAATAGGTTTCTTATTATTACTACTTTGCAAGTTAAATTGCTGCAATTTTTACTTCAATTTCTAATTCTGAAGGGCTAATGATATTATAGCATTTTAAGATATTAGTTAATTTATTAAGCCTAACCTTAAATTTATTTTCCTTTTTTGATTCAATTGCATAATCGATTGCATCATTTATAATATTAAATGCTTCTCCACCTACTGGTATAAATCCTGTAACCTTTGATCCAACATTAAAAACCTTTTGTACTATATCTAGTACTTTTTCAGAAGTGCTTTCAATCATAGCATCTCTATTCATTTAATATAATTCTGAAGAAATTTGCTGCATTGCCTACAAGTAATAATATAATTTCCAAAATAATGCTTTGTAATAAATAAATTGAGTTTTATTTTCTTCTTTTTAAAGAAATTTCATAGATTCTTATATTTGAAAGCTATCCTATTCTTTCAACTATTTATTATCATCTTCTAAATTACTTATTCTTTCATTTTATTTCTTTACAATTTCTTAAAATAAAACTAATTATTATTTAATCTATTTCAAATCTTCTTTAGTTAATAATAATGAATCTAACTCTTCTTGTTTTTCTTATGGCTATTTTAAATCTGTCTATTCCATTAATTAAACTGTTAGTTTTCTTTCTAATATGGTGAATTTATCCTTCACATCATTTAAAGTTTGGTTTTTTTATTCAAATTGAGTTTGTAATTTTTAAATATCTTATCTTAAAAAATTTATTTCATCTTATATTTCTTTTAACAAAGTTACTTTTTTTTTAATGAATTATATATTCTCCTCTGACAAATTCCATTTTTTCCTCTTCTACTGAGTGATTTAGTCTAATTATGCAAGTGCTTGTGTATAATAATTGATTGATTGATTATAATTTGACCGAAAATAATAGTGATCTGCTAAATTCACCATTATAAGGGGATTGTCTGATTCTAATTTAATTGCTTAAATACAATCTTAAAAGGCCTTCTCATATTAGCCATATTCTTTATACAAAGTTCCTTATTTAAATTATAATAAAATTACCTCTGTTGTGATAAGCTTTAGCATCATTTGAGTTCAATTCAATTGCTTTAGTATAATCTTTTAATGCTAAATCAAATTTCCTCATACTTCTATAACACAATCCTATTTAGTTCAACATCTTGATTACCTCTGTTAAAATAATTTATAGCATCTTTAGGATCCAATTAAATAGCTTTGTCATAATCTAATATGGCTTAATCTTTATTTCCTAAGCTTAAATGCAATAATCCTATAATAACCTACAACCTAAATACCTCTTGAACTGTAAATTTAAGCAATATTAGGGTCTAATTCAATTGCTTTGTTATAATCTTCAAGAGCCTCCATATTTTTTCCAATATTTTAATAGAGCATTCCTATATATTCTAATACTCTATTACCTCTGTTATTATAAGTATAAGCATCATTAGAATCTAATTCAATTGATTTGTTATAATTTATAAGTGCAATGTCTGTGTTTCCGANCCACCTACTGGTATAAATCCTGTAACCTTTGATCCAACATTAAAAACCTTTTGTACTATATCTAGTACTTTTTCAGAAGTGCTTTCAATCATAGCATCTCTATTCATTTAATATAATTCTGAAGAAATTTGCTGCATTGCCTACAAGTAATAATATAATTTCCAAAATAATGCTTTGTAATAAATAAATTGAGTTTTATTTTCTTCTTTTTAAAGAAATTTCATAGATTCTTATATTTGAAAGCTATCCTATTCTTTCAACTATTTATTATCATCTTCTAAATTACTTATTCTTTCATTTTATTTCTTTACAATTTCTTAAAATAAAACTAATTATTATTTAATCTATTTCAAATCTTCTTTAGTTAATAATAATGAATCTAACTCTTCTTGTTTTTCTTATGGCTATTTTAAATCTGTCTATTCCATTAATTAAACTGTTAGTTTTCTTTCTAATATGGTGAATTTATCCTTCACATCATTTAAAGTTTGGTTTTTTTATTCAAATTGAGTTTGTAATTTTTAAATATCTTATCTTAAAAAATTTATTTCATCTTATATTTCTTTTAACAAAGTTACTTTTTTTTTAATGAATTATATATTCTCCTCTGACAAATTCCATTTTTTCCTCTTCTACTGAGTGATTTAGTCTAATTATGCAAGTGCTTGTGTATAATAATTGATTGATTGATTATAATTTGACCGAAAATAATAGTGATCTGCTAAATTCACCATTATAAGGGGATTGTCTGATTCTAATTTAATTGCTTAAATACAATCTTAAAAGGCCTTCTCATATTAGCCATATTCTTTATACAAAGTTCCTTATTTAAATTATAATAAAATTACCTCTGTTGTGATAAGCTTTAGCATCATTTGAGTTCAATTCAATTGCTTTAGTATAATCTTTTAATGCTAAATCAAATTTCCTCATACTTCTATAACACAATCCTATTTAGTTCAACATCTTGATTACCTCTGTTAAAATAATTTATAGCATCTTTAGGATCCAATTAAATAGCTTTGTCATAATCTAATATGGCTTAATCTTTATTTCCTAAGCTTAAATGCAATAATCCTATAATAACCTACAACCTAAATACCTCTTGAACTGTAAATTTAAGCAATATTAGGGTCTAATTCAATTGCTTTGTTATAATCTTCAAGAGCCTCCATATTTTTTCCAATATTTTAATAGAGCATTCCTATATATTCTAATACTCTATTACCTCTGTTATTATAAGTATAAGCATCATTAGAATCTAATTCAATTGATTTGTTATAATTTATAAGTGCAATGTCTGTGTTTCCGATTTTATATTATAAAAGGCCTATTTCATTATACCAATTTTAACACCTCTATTATTATAGGCTTTAGAATCATTGGGATTTAATTCAATCGCTTTATCATAATCTACGACTGCCTATTGTTCATTATCTATGTCTTCATAAAGATTTCCTATCAAAAATAATATGTTAATTACCTCTATCGAAATAAAAATCAGAACAATTAGGATCTAATTCAATTGCCTTGTTAAAGTCTATAAGTGCCTATTTAGTACTTCCAATTTTAGTAAATAGAAGTCCTATTAAACTTAATAATGTAATAAACCTCGATAATTATATATACAAGCATCATAAGGGTCTAATTCAATAGCCTTGTTAAAATCTAGAAGTGCCTCCTCTTACTTACCAATTTGATCTAAAAAAATTCCTATTTAATTAAATAACCTGAGAACCTCTGCTCATATATGCAAAAGCATATTATGTATCCAACTCAATAGCCTTATTATAATCTATGAGTGCCTAATCTTTATTTCCTTAGTTTTTATATAAATTTCCTATTCATTAAAATGATATGATACCTCTGTTACAATATGCCAAAATACATTTATTATCAATTTCGATCGCTTAATTATAATATTATAATGCATCATCTTTATTTCCAATTGCATTCTTCACACATCCTAATTATAGTGAATACTCATAACCTATTCTCATGTATGCCAAAGAGTATTTAGGATTAATTTGAATGCATATTTCACAATCTTTTAAAGCTTCCATAAACATATTTTTTTGATAAAATCCCGTGGCTAAATTAATTAATACACCTTACCTCTATGATAATAGGTTGCTTCATTTGATGCTCCTAATTCAATAGCTTTATTGAAATCTTCAACTGCCTGATCATACATTCTTTTTTTTAAATATAATTCCCCTAAGTATTTATGATTAAAAGAAACCTCTCAATATTAAAGTCTTAGAATCTAAAGAATTAAGCTTCAAAGCATCATTTATCAATTTTAAAGCTTCATCAATTTTATTTTCTCTAAACTTTAACTAATTAGCAAATCTAAATATATATTTACAAAACAAGCTTAATATAATTCTTCTGCTAATTATTAGTTCTCACTATTTTCTTATTCTTTACTTGATTACGGATTTGAATCATTTTACATTTTAAATAAAAATTAATAATATTTTAGCTAACATTATAGTTTTTACTTGTTTGAAATTTTGCTCTAAGTAAAATTTCTCTAATAGTATTCTTTAAAAAGAAAGATATTATCCATTAAAATTTCAAGATTGTTTTAATGAGAGCTTCTTAAAAGAATTGAACTAAGAACTATTTGTCATTAATATTTACAGCTTAGTTATATACTTTTCTTTTTTTCAACAATAATATCAATAAATAATTTGAAAAATCCAACTTTTTAGTCAGATTTATTTACTAATAAATGAAAATTTATAATAAATTAATAATTTTCTTTTATAATAAAAATTACATTAAGTAAATGAGAATTTAATACAAGAATAGCATTATATTTTTATATAATTTAATTTTTAATATTAAAAGCTACCTTTAATAATTTAAACTCAGGTAATCATTATGTAAATTTAGTCTTAAATGAAATAGATTTATTGTTAATTATTTTATTTAAATATTCTAATATATTACATTTTTCAATAATTATTCATTAAATCTATTTCTTATTGAAAATTATATTCTTATGGCTTAAAAGAATTTTATATTCCCTATTAATCTAATTATCAATGAAATTGATTAAGAATCTAATAAAACAAAGAGTCATTTTAATTAAATAAATAGTATAGAATATGGTTAATTTATTAGAAATATAAAAAAAGAATACGCAATTTTCACTAAGAAAATAGATATTCAATACTTTAGTTTAATGATTTGTGATTATAACTTCTCTACTAATGATTTTAACCAAATTATAAACCAATTAACTGTTTGTATGAATATTATATTCTAAAATTTCATCAATTTATTGATTCAATTAAATAAAGTACTATTCTGTCAAATATATAAAGTCTAGGTTAGTTTTCTGGATTATTAAAAAATTCACTTCAAACTAAAAACATCAACTATAGATTGAATAATTAAAAATACTCCTTAATGAATTTACTATTAAGCTAAATTTAGTATCAGAATATTTTTTCTTTATTCCAAATAAATCTCATCTTTTTTCGAAAAGTATCCAGTATCTTCTTTTGCTGAATTAAATACCTTTTGGAACTATAATTTTTCCAAGTCTAATCATGAAGGTATTTAGATGCTTAAAGTGCTTAATTGGCTCGCTGAGGCCATCAGTAAGTTTTATTTTATGGAGAAGAGTCAACCTATTTAAGATAACTTAATATTTTTACCATTAAGTAATGTAAAATGAAGAATTTTGGCTTGGAATTTGTAAGCTCTACTCACTCAATTCATTTAGAAGAGAAACCTGATTGAGTTTTATTTTCGCTCTTAGGAATATCTTAATTTTTAAGTTCAGATCACCCTTTTACTAAAGAAATTAGGACAATTACAAGATTTAAATTTGTATGTTATGGATTGGAGAAAAATATTTTAGAAATAAGAAATTTTGAAAATCTTCTCAAGAAAAGAAAAAATATCCTGGAAAAAATAGTCAGATATTTTGATATATTCTGATATTTTGGATTTGAAAAGAAGGCAATTTTTAATTAATATTATAATTGGTAAGTTCCTTTCCTTGAAAAAAAATATTCGTTTGTTTTCTTTTTTTCTTATTCATGCTTTAAATGTTCCTGGATTTTAGCCAGAATTCTTTAAAGCACCAAAATAATTTTTTTTAAATTGAATTTTGAAATCTTTGAGTCATATTAGGTGACCAAACCTACACAAGTAAGCAGTCTAACCTAATATAAAAAAATTATTGAAGAAATCTCTTAAAATTATTACTCATTCCTATTAATCTTTAATTCTCTATCCCACTCAAACCAAATGATCATACTATTCATTTGAAAACCTATGATACTCTAAGTTCCATTTGCTCCTATTCAAATGAAAATCGACACACCAAAACTCCATCATCTTTTTCATGAAAATTTAATCATTTCTACTATTAGGCCAAAGTTATCTTTCTTGTCCTATTACTTAAATGCCATGCAATACATTAAGATTTTTTAATTAGTCGCGATATCGACCTATCCATTGTCTCTGCTCTATCTTGTAACATTTATCTCTCTCAAAAACTTTATAACCTTATTCTGCTAAACTCTTGTATTAATAATTCAAAGTTTAAATAATAAACGCTAAAAAAGCAGTTATCTATAAAATGAAATTAAAATCTCTATTGTAAAAATATAATTTATAATAAACTACATAACAGAAACTCAACAGTTAATTATTATCAAAGGGATAATCTTCATTATTTGTTAAACAATTCATTTTGTAAATATATTAACATTATTTTATATATTTTGATTTATAATTTTCATTCTTCTCTATATTTTCTAATTTAAATTTCTTAAGATTTATCATCCCAAGTAATAAAATACTCTCCATCATCACTCAATTAACCAAATAATTTATTTGTATTAAATTGAATAGATTACTGAACTTTAAATTCATCTTTTTCTGTCTTTCTTATAAAATTGACATATCCACTATGTTTACTAACTAATATCTATTTTTATTTAATAAATTATTATGGAAATAATGACCAATTATCATTACCTTAATTTACAGTAATATCTTTTGTCTTAGTGAACTATTTACTTACACTATTCATCTCATAGATATGCATTAAATTACCATTCCTTGGTTAAAATGTAAATAGATTATTGTTGATAAAGCATAATCGATATCCTAAACAATCAACATTTATATTTTATATAACAATCCACCTTTTACTTTATTCAGAATATTCAATTACTAATATTTTATTATCACAATCACAAGAAATAACTTTATCTTGTTAATCATTTAAACTTATTTAATTAACATAACTAGTATGATCAGTAATTGTTTATTAACAGATCCATTCATTTTATTTAATCCAAAATTTAATAGTATTATCATAACTACTAGATATAAAAAGATCTTCATTCTTATTCAAAATTAAACATCTTATATCACCACTATGTCCATAAATTATTTATGAGGATAATGTTAAATTTTATTTTGGATAATTTATACTCTTTTCATTACAAAATTCATTTTATGAACAATTCCACCAATCAATTCGAAGACAAAACTTAAATGTAAATTAATTAAAAACCTAAGAAGAAATAAATAAAGCATAGGTTTTTGAAGTATGTTGTTGATTTCATTTTTTAACAATTTTCAATCTTAACTATTCATATTCATCCAAATTAAAAAGAATTCATTTTTTTTGATTTAAATATTTAGATTCATTTAATTTCTTATATAAATAATTTTAATTCTTAACTAACTTACAAATAATGATATCTATCTTAAAATGAATAATTAGCATAATACGCTTTTTATGTGATCGAGAAAAAATGAATGCTTACTGATTAAATAGTAAATAGAAATGAATTTAACCAAAATTTAGTGGCTTTGAGCAACTATTTCTCGCTTATGTTTCTGTATTTTTTATAAAAATATGATTTACTCCATAATCGAATTAGAAACACAAATCTTCAACTGTTGGTACTTCAAGATTTGCATTCTATTTGTTATTATGAATCTTTTTGCTTTTAAGTTTTATTTTAATTATCAAATAACAAATTCTTCAAAAATAATGGAAAAATTGAATGATTGGAAAAAATATGATTTAAGAATTAATTGGTTTTAAACCCATTTTTGTTTTGATTAATCACCAGGTAAATTACTTGATACATGCTAATTTAAATCTTTATTATATTTTAACACATCATTGTTACTAAAAGTTAGTAGAACCATGTTTAGATTTGATTATGTTTCTTTCAGCTTTTATAAAAGGAACTTAAGTTTTAATATGACAAATTGATAAATATTGTAAAATCTATAATGAAACTATTAGCCGTTTGAATTTAATACTATATTGGGATAAACAAATCTGCAATAAGCTATAAAAATGAGATTACATAATGTTACATTTGATTGGCTTATAAATAATTGTTTTATAATAAATATAAAAAATAAACTTTAACATATAAAATTTAATTTAAATGGGATTTAGCTTGATCATCTTAATTGATTATTACAAAATTTAATTATTTTCATAATCCTATTTAATTTGATTAATTTTTCATTAATCCTTCAAAATAATATTTCATACATAAAACAATTAATCAAGAATAATTAACAAAAAGCCAAGCCTAGAATTATTATTGAATATTATTATGTTAATGATTTGATATTCACCATAGTTATTGAAATATATAAAATAATTAAATTAAAAAAATCTAATCATTAAGAATTTTATATATAAATACATATGATTTTATTTTATTTTAATTTGCTCATTAGAAATTTTCTGTTTATCACATCTATCATAATCATTATTTTCTCAATCAGTAATTAATACAAAAATTTAAATAAATAAAAAATTCTTCTAGACAACTATTTTCGCCTTTATAGATTGTTTATTTAATTATGGGATGTGAACTTATAGGAATGGTCATTGGATTTTGTATATAATATCCTATTTGAAAAAATAATTCATGATACATAAATATTAATTAAAATAAGTAATTATAAAATAAATAAGAGAAGCTTAAGTAGAATTTTTCAAATATGATATCTTTTAGTAATAATATAAAAAATATTGAATGATTACTTTGATCTATAAAAATATTATTTATATATTCGAAAGGATTATTTGAGAATGATGCTCAATATTATATCAATAAGATTTTGAAATGAAATACGAAATACATTTATTTTAGAAATTTATCAAATAACTAAATATCAATTAATGGTAAGATATAGGGAAAATTGCTTTGAACAATTGCTTTCATAATATCTTAAAATCTTTTACTTTTATTTTATAGAGAATAGTGAATTTTATATAATAAATTTTGTTATGCATAGTTTTTGTTCAAAAAGGCTGAATTGGTAGCTTCAAGAATATTATATATTTTTCAAAATATTTCCATTTATTTTTTTTAGGTCAATGTTTATATTATAATTAAGTCCTATAATAACTTTTAAGTTATGTTAATAACTAATTTAAATATATAATTTTCTACTTATTTTGTTAAATAATTTTATCTATTAATGTATAGATCTATCTGATACCCTTTAATTAAAAACTCTTATTGAATAAACTTTTTATAATTCTATAATGTTATAAAGATAGAATTATTATAAATAATATGAGTTCTCAATTTAAAAGAGTAAATCTGTTATATATATTTTTGATATTTTAAGTTCTACAAGAAATGATTAGTCTGGATCTAAGAAATATCAAATCGAGATAATCCTGATATATACTCTATTAATAACTAAAATTTATTTAACTTTCTTAACATGGTAGTGGTGTGTAAGGTAGAATTAATTCTTAAAAATAATAATTGCTCTTTGTTTCAATTATTAGTTAGAATTACTAATTAAGAAATATTGAATTAGTTAATAAAATTTAAAATTTTAATGGGAAATTAAATAAGTTTTTGGGTTAATTAAGATGCTCTCTAATGTTTAGTTGCTTTAAACTAGAATATTATATTTAGAAGGCATCCATTTTTGACAGTTAAAATCAATGTAACCAATACTATTGCTACCAGTGTTGATGTATTTATTCTTCAATCAAAATATCAAAATATAGTATTTTAGATAAATCAATATAATAAACATTGAAATATAGATTAATAATTATTCAAATTTGCATAATAAAAATGCTTAATTTGTGCAATCCAATTACAAAAAGTGGTAAGTTTATTAAGAACTATAATTAGATCATTAAATGATCATTTTCAAATTGATAATGTATTAAGTATTGATTACATTATCTTTGAAAATTCCATTCAATTCAATAATAAAAATTTATATATATATATAAGTTTTAAATTTAGAATAAACCTCAAGCATAAATAAATTATTCTTATCTGCTATGTTCAATATCATTATGATATTGTATCTCTAAGAATACAACCAAATATAATATGAACGTAGGTTGTTTCGTCAAAGTATCACTCTTATGATTTAATTTCTAATATTATTAATATAATGATATTGGAGGATTGTCAATATCATTAAATCACAATAGATATATTAATTTTATTTTTTATATTTATTATAAAGACAAGATAAATGATGATGATTAAGATAACTTAACAGGAAAATAAGAAACATATTCATAAAA